TCAAGAGAATTTTATTATCTCTAATCTTGACAGTAAAGAATGAGTGTGTATTTTTGTCAAAAAGTGTTTATGAGGAGTCCATAAAGAACACTGGAAGTAATGTCAATCACCGATGCCAACGTATCCTCGAATTTTGTCTGAAGCCACACCGGTCATTTTTTCTACTATTTGCTGTGTCAATCTTTTCTTCAGCTCTGCTTGAGTAGCATTGAATTTTTTGCCCATATAGGCAGCAACCGTCTCTGGAATAAAATGAAGGACAAGTTCTAGTGTACCACCATGTCCACGTTTTTCATTGACCATGGAAATAGTTACAGTATGAAGCCATTCTTTGTTCGTATTCGTATTAAATTGACCACCTTGGTCATCGTCTAGCAAACTCAACGTTCCATGAGCTAAAAGATCGTCTTTCCCAATATCCGAATCCCATAGTTGAACGTACAATGCTTCTAATTCCTGTGCTACAGGAAATAGAAGTTTTTCATTGAAAATAGGATCAGAACCATCATGAATTTGTGTCTTCTGACATGTTTCCGTTTGTCCTAATTGATTTTCAGCCTTTACTTTCGATTGTATGGAAAGAGGTGTAAGTGAAATAATCGCATAACAATCGTTTTCACCAAATAAATCACTTTTAATTAAATTGTTGGCTTTCAGTACAGTTACTGATAGAATACCTTTGAGACGTTGAGAAGATGATGCAGTCATTTTGCAATTGTTGTCGTTTGTCGAAATGAAATAAGGCTCGAATTCTTTCTCTCTGCAGGTATATCGCACACGTTTTACGTTGTTCTCTGCTGTATATAAATACCTCTATCGTACACATCACTGTGTCAATATGCATGGGCATTTGATCGATGATAAATAAAGATGAGTAACGCTTTTGCCAATCTTTTGCATACGAATCATACAAAATTATGTAAATGTCGCCCCCTGCATACATGATTCTTTCATCTTTCTTCAATACATAACGTGTCGTTCGATGCTGATTCAGTTGAAGATGAAAAGCTATTTTTTCATTTTGGCGATAAAAATGATAAGAAGAACACTACGACGAGTTTTTGAAACTAGGGTTGCAACTACTTGAGTTTTCTCCTTACTGGTACCGCTACCGATCTAAATTGTCAGACAGGCCGATAGACTGGTATGAGTCATTGTTCACTTTTGTCATCTGAAAATGATGAAATCAATCTCTCAATTAGTCATATTTACCTTTGAATCACTGCAGAAATTATATAAGGCTCCTGCTTCACTGTTATAATACTTGATTAGTTTTGTTATCTATTACGAAATAATTGTAGTGATAATAAGGTTTTCTTAAGCATCTTAGTAGAAAGTACAACCAATATTGAGCTGATTGGTAAGATTTTCCTCTTCAGACGAATGAATCTTAGAAATATACTAATCATTGAATAAAGTGGGATTCCGGAATTTCTCCAATAGAACTTTCGCCATCGGAGAAAGTCCATTGTACTTTCGCCAATATATCCCTGGACTGTTGCCAATTGGGGAAAGTTCACTATACTTTCGCCAACATACCCCCGGGACTTTCGCCATTGATAAATGTCTTATTAGTGAAAGTCTTATTGGCGAACATTCCGCCACCCAATAAAGTTCATTATACGTACATGCGGTGAATAATAATGTATGAAAAATTTTGAGCAGCAAAGCATACTTCAGCTTATGCATTGCATTAATTTTCGAAAATATTTTCCTAATGACACTAAATGAAGTTTACTTTTTGAACTTTCTTTATTTGTTCCACTATCAATAGTTTAGAGAAAACGTTTGTGTGCGACATATGCATGTTGATTTCATCTGATGTATACTTCTATATTAAAGATAGTCTCTAAAGATTAACATCATTGATGAAAAGATACGTAAAATAAATTGAACAATAAAGAAGAAAGATTATAAATCCTAATACAATTTAATTACCTTCTTCCTCTCAACTTAGTACATTAGTTTATGTATGTAGCACAGATGAATAAATCACGTTTTGTCATATTAGATGTAAACTCTATGGGCGAAAAAGTCAACTCAATAGAGAAGTATCTCTAAAGCTTATAAGTCAAAGTAAATCAAAAAATGTTGAGGTTTGAGAAAAAATAATTCGTTGACTCAACTGTACATTTAAACTATCATTGTGTCTCAATATTTGTCCTTCTGTTTTCTCTACTTTTGTAACTAATTTCTTCTCAGCTAAAAATTATCAGAAACAAGCAGTTAATTATATCCATTTTTTGAGTCCGTTTATAACTCTGTCGTGCAAACGAAATCGAAAATCAATCTCAAGAATGAATAACACAAGAATTTATATCAATCTACACACTTATACAGGCGGCATATAGTTCGATTGGGAAAATTTGAAATATCACACACGTGAAAACGAATGCAATATTTACAAGATGTAATGAGTTAGTTACCATTAAAAAGACAGTCATGCGTGAAAAACCTAATGCATTTTTACGAATTTCTGAAATATAACGAAAGTTCATGAAATTTCCTTCGCAAAACTTCGTTAATTTGTCGTTTCGCACAACTTTTGGTGTTAATTTCAGTCAATTATTTTTCTAAATATCTTTGTTATTTTTACATGGACAAAAACAATGGACGTGTAAGAAGTATAGAAATACATTCATCTATATGTAAAACTCATAAAAAGTTTTTACTAATCTTTGTGTAGGACGAATACAAGGAATTTTTCTAGCAAATAGTACAAAATTGAAGTTTCTCTAAAACAATCTTCAGCTTAAACTGATAAAAAGTCTTTGAAGATGAGTTTTGTGTAACACGCATAAACAAATGCAAAGTCTAACCATATTCAACACGATAAGATTAGTTAATCCTTTGAAGACGGAATTTTTTTCAATCACTTTATTTTATTTCACTCAAAATGATTACATAAAATTCTTATAATAATCAAAAAAAAAAACAATTTTTCTGATCTTTGAAACAAAATATTAATTTGAAAATTTATATGATAATTGTTTCACTTCGCTTATCTAAAGATTACGATATCCTTCCATTTCGTAGCGAAAGAGTCTTTTTCAAAATCAAGAACAACGTAATTTCGTCAACAAGAATAGAAATATGTATATATAAAAGCGCAATAACGGGGCGAAAATATTCTTGAAGTTTCTCGAAAGAAAATATATTAGGAGAGAAGAAAATTAATGACGTTATATTGTACAGTAACAGAAAGAAAACAGAACATTCTAAAAGAATCTCCATAAGAGAACTCAAGGAAAGATAAACATGAGATGACAGAGATTATAAATAGAACCACCTGTGACCTATATGACCTGGTAGATCTAACAGTTTAATGTAAGCAAAGTATTTTTTTTCTCTACTGAAAAATAGGTGGTACATACGTATGTACACTACCGTCTTCACTAACACGTTTTACAAAGTTCCGAAATATAACTAAAGTTTATGGAATTTTTTTTGTTAAATGCCTTTTTTGATTTTTACATGAGGAATTGTGGTATTAGATTTTTGTAATATTTTTATGACCTATTCAATCGCGATAGAACGATTAAGGATGTATATAAGACTACTACATTTATTATATCGTAAATCTTTTAGATTTAATGAAAAATTTTTATCTTAAATGTTCATCAGTTATAAAAACATAAAAGAGTGTAAATAATTTGTATTGAATTTCAATCATCTCAAAACAACATGGAATATTGGACGTACGATTCATAACACAATTATTTAATGAACGAATAGAATTAGTAAACAGTGATGTTAAATTTGCTGATGTATGAAAAACTGAATATGTATGGAATGTACTGAACGAAAAAATTCGTCGATTAGAAAAAGAAAATGCGAAACATCTGATCAATTGCAATTGCTTATAGGAAGCAATGGAAAGGATGTTCACACACTTGAAATTCATGCTGTTGAAAAAATTTATCTTGTAAAATTTCTTTTCATCAAATGTTTATAAATATTATTGGTCAAGAAATAAAGATATCACAAAAATTATTCAGCACTAGTTTTAGTTAGAGAATTCAAACTTTGAAAATTTAAAGATCTTGGTTAAATACATATGTGATACAAAATTTTAGCCTTCTACATCAAGAAAAAGTGTCATTGACAGTTTAAGCTCAGTTATTATGGGACACTCACAAGAAGTCTCACTACCAAATTTTAATCCTTTTGCCTGATATTTTGACTACAAATAGAGCTCGATAAACTCTGATTGCAAGGTCGATAGATCTTTAAATGCAAAGGGTTTACAATGAAAACACTGGTTCTTTTCTCTCAGATCGCCAAAAAGATTTTTCTGATTTTCCACTGTTAACCACCATTTTCTTATTAACAAATAAAAGTTCGCATGTCTATGTTGTATTGCAGATAGGGTACACTCAACCCACTATTATCCTGAGACGTAGGAAATTTATTCGAGCAAGGCATTCATTAGAGAAAATTTCAAGTCTAATAATTAAAATTAATTGAAGATATATAGATTACTTCATAAATCAAACAAACTAAAACTGTTTGACAATGGAATTTTTATTGGTGATAGAAGTAACATTGAACGCTATCGAATTGAAGATCTAACGTGTTCATATTTGTTTTCTATGTTGACTCTCTAATTCTAGGTTACGTTTTAATCTAGTAGCAAAACGGTTATATAAACCTTTTTTTTTTGAATATTTTAAACAAAGTAGATGGCATATAGTCCATATAAAATATAATATCTATTAAATCAAATTGTTTTCTAATATTATTAATTTATTATTTTTTTTCTTAGTTAAATCGGGCTCAGAACATTATGTGCACCATCTAAATTTTTTTTTCTTATTAATAAACAACAATAAACAGCTGATTATCAACATGAAAAATTGTTTTTTATTCGTTTAAATAATTGACGAATCATAATAGATGAGCGCTATTGTCAATTGATAAGCATATTAGCTTTGACACTCAGGCGAAGGAGTTGATTATGGAAAGGATGTTTGTGAAAGTTATCTGCTGTTATTATTATTGTCGTTTTTACTCAATGAAATTTCTCTTTTTTGTTTTTTTTTTCTTTCTCTAATATATACATTTAGATCCTTTTCCTCCTTTTTCAATTATTAAGAAAATATAATAGGTTACTTATATTGAAAAAAAAAAAAAGAAAAGAAAATCAACAACAACGTCATTATTTGAATAGAATAAATTCAAGGTTGATTTTTTTTTCAACTTTATTGTACATTTTTCAAGTATTTTTATGTCTGTTTTTTTCTTTTAAGCGACATAATACAACCTTTTTCGTGTCGTCAATTTTGTTTATTCTTTTTTTTTTAGCATAAAAAAAAAAAAAAAGAAGAACAGATACGAAAATTATATTGAACGTTTTGAAATTTCGTTAGGGTCTCTGTCATTACTCAGATAGGAAGGATAAACGAACGAAACGATGAACAACGTATAGAGAAAGAGAGACAGAAAGAGAGTATTAAGTAGAGAAGAAAAAAAAAAATACACAAAATATAAACGCAATTCATCGTTTACTCTCGTCTGGCCATTACACACTACTTGGCGTATCGTTTTAATCGGACAAACTATTCGTTATGTGTTTGTCGTCGTTTTTTTCTTGATAATTTAATGATAGATTGTCCTTGTTACGTAGTATTCTGTTGATAGGTTATAGGCATATGTTTCTTCCTGCCATCATCAATGACACCTCGTAAGAAATAGGAGAAATAAAAAATAATAAGTCTTCTATTCTGTGTTTTTTTTATATTTTTTGCCTTCAAAAATTACTGAGATCGATTTGCTTGCGTCGTGCTTTCTTCCGGTGAAGAAAAAAAAAAAAAAGAAACTATGTCAACGAATGCGTATATATGTTTAACGAACGTTTAATTTACGTTTTGCAAATAGACAATACCAATCAGCTACTTATATGCTAAAAGCATTTGTACATTTATTTAATAATAAACCTTGTAAGATGAGGTTCATCAAGATTGATGGATGAGAGATACGTATATCATCAAAGCTGGATTACATAATGAAAGTATTCGTCTTTATAAATAGAACGAAAAAGAGCGAGAGAGAGAGAGAGAGTGACGACCTTTTTTTTTCTTTATTTAACTTATATTCAAGCAAGAATTTATTGTTGTTTTTTGTTTTTAGATCTCTTTCTGTACATATGTTGTTCACAATAAATAATTATTTCAATCATTATGTACGGTGATATTGAACATGTCCGAAGCAGATCTTCTTCAACCCGACAATCTTGTTCGAGACCGATGGAAAGTAGTAAGTCAAAAAAAAAAAATTTTTTTTTTTATTGATTATTTTTATTTTTTTTAAATTTAGATTAGTAAAGTAGGTGGTGGAGGTTTTGGTCAGATCTATGAAGCATATGATCTTGTCATTAAAGAGAATGTAGCACTTAAATTAGAATCAGCTAAACAACCAAAACAAGTTCTTAAAATGGAAGTAACAGTTTTACGTCGTTTACAAGGAAAAGATCATATATGTAAATTTCTTGGTGGTGGAACAAATGAATTATATAATTATGTTGTTATGACATTACAAGGAAAAAATTTAGCTGAATTACGTCGTAGTCAAACACGACAATGTTTTAGTTTATCAACATCATTACGTATAAGTATACAAATTCTTCAAGCTATTGAATCTATACATTCAATTGGTTTTCTTCATCGTGATATAAAACCATCAAATTTTTCTATGGGACGTTTATCAACAACATGTCGAAAAGTTTATATGTTAGATTTTGGTCTTGCTAGAAAATATACAAATGCAGAAGGTAGTGTTCGAGCAGCTCGACCACAAGCAGGTTTTCGTGGAACTGTACGATATGCTTCAATTAATGCACATAAAAATAAGGTTAGATAGAATAAATAAATAAAAAATAATTAATTTTAAATATATATTTAAGGAAATGGGTCGACAAGATGATTTATGGAGTTTATTTTATATGCTTGTTGAATTTGTTACAGGACAATTACCATGGAGAAGAATTAAAGATAAAGAACAAGTTGGACAAATGAAAGAAAAATATGATCTTACAATTTTTTTAAAAAATCTTCCACCAGAATTTAAAGTAAATAATTAAATTAATTTTCATTTAAAAATAATTGTTTTTTTTTTTTTTTTGTTAAAGCAATTTCTTGAACATATTCAAAATTTACGTTATGAAGATAAACCTGATTATGAATTATTACAAAATTTATTTCATACAGCTATAACTCGTCGTGGTTTTAAAGAACCAGATTTATTCGATTGGGAAACAGAATCAAATGGTATTGAAAATGAAACAAATGCCGTACCTACTCCAGCACAACCTCCACCTCAACCGCAACAAGTTTTATCTAATATCAATAATAAACTTTCTGCGTATGTTTTCATAAGAATAAAGATAAGACAAATCTCAATTTTTTTTTTTTTTCATGAATTTTCTAGAGAAATGACAAAAGCAGTTGTAACAACTCAGCCATGTGGTGCAAGTACAACAATCAATACTCGTCAACAAGCAACAGAAAATGATGCATTTGATGAACGTTTAAAATCACCAAAACAAACTAATGTTATGTCTGATCAATCAGCAGCACGTCGAGTTATTCCAAAAAGTCTTGATCGTAATACACGACGTGCTGCTCAACCAACAAATACAACTGAAAAAGATATTTCATCTTCAAAAAAACAACAACAACAACGCACTCCTCTTACAACAGCTCAAATATCTGAATTATCTCAACGTTTAAGACGTTCAAATCAATCAAAATCAACAACTGGTGAACCTTTAACACCAACAAGTAAATTAATTAACAAAGAAGATTCACCAGCTAGTGTATCACATTCAGATTCAGCTAAAGCAAAAAATCGATTAAATCCATTAAAATCATCTGATATTCCTATTCTTGATGAGTCACTTTCACCTTTCGTTATTATGTCAACATCCACCGGTGGTACTGAATATGGTAAGCCACCTAAAACACCACGTTCAGGTCGAACAGCAACAAGTCGTAGTGATGCCATAGTATCAACACGACAAATAACGTCACGTCCAGGTGATAGTGAAGCTATGTCAATACCAGCAGGAACATATGCAATTAAAGCTGGTCCACAAACAGTTCTATCACAATGGGTTATATCACTTGATGAACCTATTGAAGATGAAATAAGTGATAATCAACATAGTGCTAAATGGGAAGATGCACAAGAAAAACTTCAAAGGTTAGAATTGAATAAAAGAAATATTTTAATTAATAAAAATTATTAGTATAATCTCTGCGATAATATAGCTACTTTTATTAATCATATAGGAAATAAAGAGATGGAAAAAAGTTTAGAAACAACGGTTTTTTTGGTTTTTTTCATAATGTTAAGTACGTAGCTCCAATCCAAATAGTGATTTTAATAGCCAATGAAATTTTCTATCCAATACACTTTATAGCAAGATTTTACCGATGAACAGTGATGGCAAGGCTCCTAAAAAACCGAATACAGTATTTTCAGATTCTAGAAGGCTTTACCAAAGCTATTTCTAAACAGTGCTCTCTTAAAGAGCACAAAATGAGGAGTCGCCGAGTTTTCTACGAACTTCTCGTAAAAAGTTACAAGCATTACAAAAATCATGAAAAAGACGTTTTTAGTTGGTTTTAAAAAATTTCGTTTTTTCATGATTTTGGTGATGCTTGCAACTTTTTATGAGAAGGTCGTAGAAAACTCAGCGACCCCTCATTTTACTCAGAATTTTGTGCTCTTTAAGGTGACATCGTTCAAAAATAGCTCCGGCAAAGCCTTCTAGAACCTGAAAAATACTGTATTCGGTTTTTTAGGAGTCTTGCCATCATTGTTCATCTGTGAAATCTTGCTATAAAGTATATTGAATAGAAAACTTCATTGGCTATTAAAATCACTATTTGGATTGGAGCTACGTGCTTAACATTATGAAAAAAAACCAAAAAAAAATCGTTGTTTCTAAACTTTTTTCCACCACTTTAGTTCATATATTATAATGAAATATTATTGAAATACAACAGAGACGAATTCGATCTGTCAGTACCGATTCCATCTTTCATATGCGATCTTAACATTTAGATTATATTTTATAAAACAATTTTTTTTAATCTTATTTAGTGCAACTCATGAACCATCACAATATCATCCAGCAGTATCTTCAATATCTGTACCTCTTGTGAATAATCCACTTAGTCCGTCCAATATGAACAGTCAACAAATAACAACAGTTAATAATCTTCAATCTCCTATAATTTATGCTACTATTTCTAATAGTAATATTAATGATGGTCGATATCAACAGTATAATCGACCATTATTAAGAACTGTTGATGAAAATTCAACTAAAGGCACAATGAACAGTTATGATGAAAAAGAAAATAAACGTAAATTATTTATTAATTTTATATAATTATTAAATATTTTTATATTTTAGAAAAAGAATCAATTGTTTATTCACATGAACAACCATTAATTGAAACACTTCCATTTGAAAATTATCGAACAATTGATAAGACAGGAAATATTTCATTACTTCGAAATAATAATTATATGAATATTAATCGTTTATCAAATGATGAAGATGGCCATGATGGTGATGTTGATGAAGATGAGGAAGATGATCGTGAACAATCGAAAAGAAAAAATATTGAACAAAAATTTTTACAACAGAGTAGGCAAAAAAATCTAATAAATGAATCTTTTTCTAGAAATATACCTTCATCGAAAATGATTAATACTTCGGTGCAATCTAGCCCGAATACATCAACAATATTGATGATGATGATGAAGCAAGGAAATGGAGAAAAATCAGAAATTTTAGGAGAAAATCAAATACAAATATCAAAAAATGAAAAACAAAAAAATGAATATCATCCTACTGATGTTTCATCAACTATTCAATCAAAATTATCGGATTTATCAATATTACCTGTTGATGAACATCAACAAAATAAAATTCGTAAATATAGTTTTATTCCAGCTCGATTTTTTAAAACACGTTTAATAGCTAAATCAACTGAACAACTTAATCATTCATTTATTAATGATAATCCTTTAAATTATACTATTCCATCATTGCAATCAAATTCTGCAATATCAATTCTTAAACAAAATTTTCTTCAACAATCTACACCAACAACAAGAATACAAAGTTCAAGTAAGAAAAATACATGCATTGAAATGGTTTGCATGCGGTTGATGTTCGACTAACTTTGCACGTGTAGATATATTTTATTCCCATATCTTTATTATCATCATCATCATCATTATTGTTCTAGAGAATTTTTGCATGAATTAGTCTATATACTTTAATAAAAAAACTTTCTCATTTTTATATATTTATTTAAATATATAGATCATAATGAAGATGAGTCTATTATGAATTCACGAGATAAAAATAATATTGAATTAAATAATGATCAACAACATTTCTCAAACGGTGCTCGTAAATCATTATCAACATTTGAAATTCATCGTGGTGATGATTTTTCTAAAAAATTATCGTTTTATGAAAATAATGCTTTTTCTAACAATAATAATAATAATAATGACAATTCATCTCGACGACCAATGTTTCAACAATCATCATCTATTCCGTCTACAACAAAATCTTCAAATGATTTTATGAATATATCAACACAACAAATATATTCAAGACCAAATCTTTCTACAACTATAAATGATCAAATACAACATAATAAGTCTTCTAAAGATTTATTAGATCCACCTATTGCGCATCCAGTTTATTATCAACAACAACAACAACAACAGCCATTATCGTTATATCCGTCCACATCTTATTATATTAATAATACAACACCAACAATAATTGGTAGTAGTATACTTGAAAATGGACCTATAGACTATCAACAATATCAACCATCATCATTATCAAATAATAATTTTATTCCGGATGATGTATCGAGCTCATCAACAGGTCATTTACCAAAACCTCCACCTGGTATACCCAATCAAAATGCAAGGCAATTATTTAAAACCAAAAACAAAAAAATATAATAATCTAATTGTTTTTCTTTTTATTTAGACGTCGTCGTTATAAAGTAGATAATATGAATAATCGTCAAAAAGATCAAAATCCTGAAGGTTCATCAGAACGTTCACCAATGACTTAATAAATTAATTTTAAATCTCTTTTATTTTGCTCTTTCGAAATAACATTTGTTTTTCTTTTCTTTTCTTTTCTTTTCTTTTCTTTTTTTTTGCATTCAAAGTTATATGTATATATCAAAATAGAAATGTGGTTATTCTCTAGGACTGATGTTTTCTTTTTTTGTTTTGTTTTGTTTATATAATCGTTTCAATTTCACAATCGAATCTGTTTTTTGTTTGTGTATTAGATAAATTGAAACGAATTATAATGCGCGTGTGAAAGAGCGAGAGAGAGAGAGAGAGTAAAAAAATAATTTCTTTTTAGATGAATATGTCTATAGGATTTTGTTATTTACAATTAATTGGTATAACATATGTTATAAGTGTTTTGATGGGTGCACCATTATTAACTGATATATTACAAACATTGATGTTTAGTATTTATATTGTTTTAATTGGTTTTACACCAATTATAATTAGTTTAAAAGGAAATTTACATGAAATATATAATTTTCTATTTCAAAATGAATTTTATTTAATAATATCAACTTCAAAAAAATTTTTTTATATGAGAAATTTAGTATGGGGAACAATTATTGGTGCATGGTTAGGTGCAATACCAATTCCATTAGATTGGGATCGTTGGTGGCAACAATGGCCAATAACATGTCTTGTTTCATCAACAATTGGTGCTAGTTGTTCAATAATAATTTCATATTTATGGTTATGGATTCGAAATAAACAGAAATATAATGAAGATATTGAATAAACAAAAACAAAAAAACTTTTCACATATAACATAAATCAAAAAATTGTTTTCATAGTAACAAAAAAAAAATGATAGTAAATGTGTTCAGATTTTCTTTTATTATTAAAATAAAGATATATTGTAGTTGTGATATTTATCAAAAATCAATTTTCTTGAATAAGAAAAGATAATCTTATAAGAATAAGTTCTGATAAATCAAGGACATACAATAAGAATAAAAATTATTTCCTATAATTACATTTAACATCAGTGTTCATTAATCAATGAAAGTTAATAATACAGATACACAATATATTATTATGCAATATGTGCATTCAGTTTTTCATTGTCTTCATGAGATTTTATTGGTATATTAAAAATTCATCAAGCAATCAATTCTACACGGTTAAAAACTAGTGATTGAATATGTTTTAATAGTAAAATTTTGATAGAAAAGAAAATTGAGGTAGATTTCTTATAATAATTGCTCATCATTATACTTCTGGCTTTGTAGATGAAATATGTTATTAATTATATTATATGAAAATAAAAGCAATAAAATTTATGAATTCAATTTGATCATAGTTATATAACGATGAACGAAATTTTTTATTTTGTTAGTAAATATTTTCATTAGATAAGATTAGATTCATCATTTCAAAATGTTGAAAGTAAAATTTATATGAAATAAATTACAAAAGAGAAAAACATAACGTTTGCTAAGCAAATTTTTATCTCAAGAGGATCATTTTTTATTCTGTTACAAAAACAAGAAAAAGATTTCTATTCGTCTGTCATTACTTATATAGACATGTATGCTTTCTGACATTAACGATGAGTGTCTCTTTTTTTCTTTTTTTACTTTATCGGTGTGAGTAGGTCGAATAGGTTTCTTTTTTTTCTCTACCAACAAGCAGTCTATAGAGTAGAAAAAAAAAATTAAAACATACGAAAGATTACCAAGGTTACGGCAGAAAGCAAAAAAGTCTTTTGTTGATTAAATATATTCATTTCTATTTTAGATATTCTATTTACTTGAACTCATGGCTCAACTCACAGCAAGTCAAGAACGTGAATTACGTGATGCATTTGATCTTTTTGATACTGGTATATGAAATAAAAATCAAAAAATCAAATATTAAATTAATTTTTATTTTTAGATCATTCAGGTAAAATATCAAAATCAGAATTAAAACGTGTACTTCAAGCATTAAATATTCAAGCTAATGATAATGAAGTACAACAATTATTATCTCAAATGGATAGAGATCATAGTGGTGAAATTGATTATAAAGAATTTAAAAGTGCTATGAGTGTATCATTTTTTAAAAAATATTCAAAACAAGAATTACAAACAGCATTTAAAAAACTTGATGCAGATGGTAATGGTTATATAACAGCAAATGAACTTAATTATATATTATCACGTATGGGAAGAAATTTAAGTCGAAATGATATTGATAGTATTGTTAAATCAATAGATTCAAGTGGTGATGGAAAAATTTCATTTAATGAATTTTGTAAATTATTTGATTGAAAAATTTTATAATTTCAAATTGACATTTCCTATAATCTTGAAAAGTGTTATGTTTTAATATTGTGTCTAATTTAGAAATTATGATAAATTGTGTCTCGAAAATGAATAATAATAAAAAAAAAAAGAAGTTTGATGTCAAGAATTAATTTTTTTTTTCTTATGTGATTATATATGTAAAGAAAAGAATTTACAAGAAAGATTTAGTTATTACTATCGATTATTTTCAATCACCGATGACTGAATCTTATTTTATAGATAATTTGAATATAAATATATCTTATGTTATTAAAATCGAATCAGCATATGACATTAGATAATCAATATAAGTCTTTGAAAATTTTAATGTTATTTGACTAATAACTTTATGTTTTTTACATATTATTTCTTTATGACTCTAGCACATATACATCAAAATTTCAGCTTTCTACTTCAAACAATCATTGAGTTATGAGAGATGTATAAAAAGAAAAGGTTATTTTATTTTTTTGGTGCCACGCTTACAGAAGAAAAAACCTATTTTGACTATAATAAAAAAACAAGTGGATAATTAGTCATATTCATAGAGACTTTTGTGTTCTATAAAAATTGATTTTCATTTCACTTCTTTTTTTATTTCTTAGCTTCATTTTACAGATAAAATAAGAGAACTTTCTGAAAATAATTATTATACTCACTTTGTAGAATTGCTTTTTCAAAGTTTCTTCCTCTATAAATCTTCAATAAATAAATTATTTACTTCGGCTTAAATTTTTGCTGTAGATATAAAATGCAAAAGTTATATGAATGAGAAAAATTTTATCCTTGATCATTTTTTTATTTAACAAACAGATTTGTGTATTGTAATTTTTCCTCCCCGTAATTACTTCCCTTATAATACTTTGTAAAATAATTTGAATCATTTCAGTAAAACAAATTTTATCATTGAATTTAGGAAACACTAAATTGTAAAAGGAACATTTCACTTAATCTTCAGTAAAATATTCGCAAAATTTTATTGTGTGTAACATAGTTACACGGCATAATAAAATGTACTACTGAGGAATTGTTTAGGTCTGTTTTAATTTTTTTTATGTACTAATTATACTCCATGCCGTCAATTTTCCATCAAAATCGACGGTTGATCGTGGTTCACTAAAAGAACTCGTCAGTTCGAACGATCTATCCATTTTTTAGGATATGAGTATGGGTAGGTATAGATCATCACGTTTTATCTACACCGACATCAGACCAAGAGTTATCTGCCATTCATTGGTGGGAAATAAATCCCATATCCAATGAATTCTTCTTGTTACACAATTTAAACTCCGTCTTTTTTCTTCTTTATTTGCTCATGTAGTCTTCTATCAAGACGTCGCTGTTGCTATAAACTTGATATCGTTGTTAACGAACGAATGCGGAACGAGAACAAAATATTTTTTTTTATTCTATGAACTCAATGTGTAACAACAGTAACTTAAAATAATGTTTGAAAAATCTTTTCCAACAGCCGTTGAAAATATTTGCTCGTATTTTATTTTAAGAATAAACAAGAAAAAAAATCAAACAGTTGTATTATTTCGTACAATATTCAATCATGCGAAATTCCCGTCTCCTTTGGATACTAAGAAATACAACAACAAAAAATAAATGTGAAAGAGACAACACAATTCAGTGAAAATCAGTCCATTCTCTGCAGGAATTCTTTACTTTTTAATTATAAACTTACACTCATTATTTTGTGATACTCGACTCATTTATTAATTGATCATCTTCTTTGCATGAAACCGAAAGAAACAAATAAAAATAAACTGATTGATCTATGTAAAAAATTTTACAAAGACAATCTAAGTGAACTAGTTATTATTCATGAATTTTCAGCGAGATTATTTGCTCGATCGTGCTCTATGATAGTATACGAGATATAGATTTACTCTTTCTTTTTCGATTTTTTATTCATGATATTCACAAACAACTTGAAAAACTTCAATGTTCAACATCTATTGGTATCTATCGAGATCAATTAATATCGAATGACGCCTTACAAACATTGAAAGCTTCCATTGAACAATTCTGGATAATCTGCGGCGTATTCCATTCGAAATTGATCTTGATACAACACTTGCTGGTATCAAACCACTCGCTAATATTACATCGAATAGGTTTTTTTTCACCGATGAACAAGAAGTACTGATCATGTTGGGATCGATATTTCAAATTGTCAACATTGATTATCAAGATCGAGTTCGAATCGTTCAAATAGCATTGTGCAGTGATAGTGATAACAGTTTAAAATCTATCTATGATTATATGAAGAATGAATATGATGAAAAGCAATGCAGGATCAAGCATTTTCTCATTTGGTATTCTTTTATTTAAAATAGGACAATACTATAATCAGCTGCTAGCATTATATGGGTAATGCTTATCAAGAAGAGAAAAAATTTTAAGAAGCATTTGAATGTCATCAAAAAGTATTGATCATTAGACAGAAACATGCTTGTGTTGATCATTCTGATTTGGATTCATCTCAATATTGTATTGGTAGTTTCTATCTAGGCCTTGGTTATTCTGATCTTGCATTTAAACTTTATAATCAAGCATTACAAATCTATTAAAAATCTCTACCAACTCAACATCTCGATATTGCAATGTCACATTACAATCTTGGCCTTCTTTACATTGGTAAAGACGATTTTCAACAAGCAATAATACATTTTCAAAAAGTATCATCTATCATTCGTGCAATATTGCCTCCAACACATCCATTTATTGCCATATTCGATCAAGACATTCGACAGATTTCAGATAAACTCAAATAAGCGTGTCATCTTCTCCCTAAAATATAATCATTTTGTTCGCATGTTAGTCTTTCGAAATTCGTTCGATGTCTGTATTATGTGGGTTCCATAGTGACAACCAAGGGTGCTACTCATTATGCATATAAAGCGTTTGACTATTGCAAAATATTCATAAAGATATCCACATCGTTTAATACAATATGGGTATGCGTGTGGATTGTCGATGTGGTTCAGGAAGAAATATCCACATCCACGTCTGCACCTTACACCCTACACCCATCCAAATCCTACCTCTATCGGATGACCGGATCTCAAAAAATCCAATCAGATTTGTTATTGGATTTATTCATCTGGGTAGGTAGTCGACATTTTCAACACGAAAATATGCATTCTATTCTTTCAGAGAAAACCATTAAACCTGTTTGTGATAAATTTATTGAAACTGGATCGATGCATGATCGTGGACAATCAAGAAGATCATTTTTAGTAACATCCGAAAAATTAGATGAAATTGCTAAAGATCTGTTAAATAACTCAATGAACAATGTTCGTCGATTTATTATGTATATAATTTATACATTACAATCTCAAACTCAAAAATATGAATGTATGCACTGAAGTGTAAAAGAGAACAATACGCTTGAACGTGACAGGAAAATCAAGATAAGAAATACATATTATTCATACATGACACTAGAATATAAAACAAAATGAAAAAATTGGTACATATTTTCTGACACAATAGTGTATGACTCATATTTTGACAATAGAAGACAAAAACTCTTATTTTCTTGTTAATGAAAAATTATAATGTTCATATGTTCCATCACATTGTGTAGAATCCGTAATTCTTTTGTCGTTTTTCACAATACGAAATCTTAATAAAATCTCGAAAAAGTCTCTATTAGCGAAATAAATATGTTGTAATCGTTAACAATATATTGAAATAAAATTCATAATACACGGGAGTATAAAATAGTGATACTTGATCTAAAGTAGCTATTGAATTCTGACAATATTATGGTCGTCTCAGATTCAATATAAAATCTTACTACACAAAATACATATCGAGACATGTTTTTTTTTTCATTGTCAACTTTATGAAGCATTCCACTATCGACAATTCAAACTCAATGATTTTCTTCTTCGAGAAGATTCGATGAGCAGCATGAGAAAGTATCTGTTCTTCTAAATGAAAGAGAAACTTCATCGGATGATGCGAAAGAAATTAGAAAAGAATGAATGATTTTAGCTTGATGAAGAACGTAAAGAAAGCAATGTGGGTGTACTCACACCTTTCATGGAAGGTTTTTCTTGTATCATGACGTTGTTTTTTTCATTGATCATTGGAAGAAAAAACTCCAAACTTTGTTTTACTACTCATCATTCATCATATCATATACACTATCTATTAGAACAGTTTTATAGCAACAAAATACATTTATTACATGTCTTTTCATTTATATTATTTTCATTACAAATAGATTAATATAATTCTATTTCAGTTTAGATGATACGCGTTGGATACTTTGCTTGATTTGAACAACGTTGGGATGCGTAGAAGAAAATGCCTCACAATAGATAGTGCTTGCTTCTTCATAATAGGACAATGCTTGTTTCCAATTGCCTTTTTCTTCATAAACGATACCTATATTTTCAAGTGTCATTGCCACATCTGTATGATTAGATGGAAGGGATACTTTGTAGATTTTGAGCGCACGATTATATTGTTCCAAAGCTTGATCAGAATGACCCAGATGTCTATGCATGATACCAATATTATTATATGATGCACCTAAGTCAGCATGATTGTCAGGAAGATGATTCTTCCGAATGGTCAATGCATTCTGATAATGATTGATTGCTTTCGAATATTGCTTCAGTTGCTGATAGACGACACCTATGTTATTCAAACACAAAGCTACATGAAGATCATCTTCACCAAATGAATATTGAAATATCTTCAATGCTTTATTGTACGATTCTAGTGCTTGCTCATAGTTACCCTTGGTTAGATAAACGTTAGCAATACTATTGTGAGTGTTTGCGATACACGGATCATTTTGCTTGAGAATTTGCATGTCAATATTGAGCGATTTATTAAACCATTTGAGACTTGATTCATAATCAGCTTTACTATCAGCTACACGTCCGAGTGCATAATAACATGTAGAAATATTGTGATAATCATTTGACGGCAGTCCATTAAGACAACGACGATAGTATTCTTCAGCCTCGTTATATTTACCCATTCGTTGTAGTACATCACCTAACATAATAAGGTCCAGTTTACTTTGTTTATTTTCAGACTTCATGTGATTTAAAATTGCTTTTAAAGGATGATCATGATCACTAAATAAAGTTAATTTAATTGTCCACACTCCATTTCGATCATGATTCATGTTGACAAGTCGAAAAATTGAGCCCAACATGAATAAAACTTCTTTTTCTCTAGGATAAAAACTGAGTGATGAAATTTCAGCAAAAGGTTTAATATCAGGAAGTTGTGGATCAACTTCAATTTCGAATAATACCCGTTCGAGATCTTTTGATTCAAGAAGAAATTTATAGGCAAGTTGACGATCAAGACTTGTCGATAAAAATGAATTAATCGAGATTAATTCGCCAATTGAATGTTTTAATGTATTTAATTCTTTGTTCCACATCAATTGTCCTCGATAAACAGTCAGACGAGAGGAACATTGATTTTTTTTCAATTGATTTTGAAGATCACTAATTAGAAAACGAAATAGGAAAAGTAAATGAATATTCTGTTCACGAAGTGCTTTGTTTAACATTTGATACACAAGTGAATCTCTTGTATACCAATGCAACGCTTGATTACTTGAATATTCATTTTTAAATTTTTGAACAAGAGCTAGTTGTTCCTTGTCTTTCTCGTACGTTTGTTTACAAATAGAAATCAGTTCATCTATATCGGAAGTAGTTGATTTCATTTGAAGAAGACAATCGATTAACAGTTGTGAATGAAGAAATTGTCCATTCAATCCGACGGTTAGTTTTTCTTTCGCGACGTTGGAATTGAAAGAAGTGAATGTAAGTGGTTCAGCGCTTCTATCATATGGCTGTTTTGCTTGATCTGATTGAATTAAACTAATAAGGTCATTTAATTGTACGGCTAGACCTCGAACCTCAAATATAAATTTTTTTTAGTGAAAATGTTTCTCAATTTTTATCGATTCTTAGATATAAAAAAAAACTTTAATGTTACTCTTCCCTGCTGAAAGGAGCACATACTTTTGAAAACTTTTTGGTCCATAATTCATTTCTTTCTTTGTTTCCACAGTAGACATAAATGGCAACAATTTGTTGATGCTCATGAACGCGAGGAACAATCTGTTGACCCAATGTACCACTAACAATAAGGACGATTCGATCAGATTCAGACAGTGATTTAATGTATTCTTCACAAAGATCTATGTTCTCGAATGTTTTCAATTGATTAATTAATAAACGAAGTCGTTGCTGAGCATCAATACTTTCTTGTAATGTGTTCACTGAATCATCGAGCCAAATAAGAGAAGAAGTTTTTAGATCACTCGTACTTGGTGTGAATCTTCTGAATGTTGCTCCCATCGTAGAAATTGTGTTTTATGTCTCGACTGTGCACTGACTATTGCAACAGCAACAACAAAAAAATAACTCACGTGTTCTCTCTCCGATGCCAATACTTGAATTTTTTTCTAATTCTTTCTTCAAACTCTCGAATTCTATTCCGCGAGAAGCGTAGTGTATTTGCAAACGACAGATGTTGCTTCGACACCAAGAATACGTGAATTTGCGTTCGTAGAAGAAGAAGAACAAAGAAATACGATGCAATAAAAAAGTAGTTGTTTCCTTGAGATAAGTATATATTATTAGGAAAAGATGTAACAACTCTGTTTTAATATTAGCTGAATATATGAAACATTACCTACTATAGTTAAGATTAATCTATACACAGTAATATTTTATGGTATGAAATAATTTTCTCGAAACTGAAAACAGAAAAATACTATTTTGCACATTTCTGCTTGACATGATGTATAATATTCCTACAAATATGATTATTCAGAATGTATAATGTAACATATAAAAACAAATCTTTTTTATTTATATTTGTTTTACGTTCTTCGAGACCAACAAATAACATCTGATACTTGCAAACTTTTGTTTTTTTTTTAGATAAGATTTATGTATCAAACATTTTAACATAAAAAAAGTCACGTTGTTTTTTTTCTTTCTTTTCAATAAATAAACACACAATAAAATTCCATTCTTTTTGTTGATATCCTTTTCTAAAGTTTGACGATTGATTCCATTTTAAAATTGATTTTTCTTTAAAATTTAAATTAATACTTTTAATTAATCTCACTCAATAGAATAAAATTATTGTATATAATCGACTTTGAAATATCGAAATTAAAACCTGTATTATTGTTATTTTTAAATAAACCAATAACATAAAAATTGAAACAAAAAAAATGAAAGCATCAAGTTAGTTATTCAATACACGAAAAAAAAGTTTTATGTCAATATAAATATACATTTATATCTGTATGTTGCATTTGTATAAATAGAGAAAAAAAATCATCGTTGAATATCTCGATGATAATCATTAATACGTGTTTCAAGTGATAAATTATTATTTTCAAACCATGTAACTAAACAACTTTCAGCATGATAGTGTACTTGAAGTTTTGAGTGCTTTAAATAAATCTTCATCATAAATGGCTCCAGTCATTAAACTATATATATTGATTTACATAGACGTATAAACTTCAGTGATCATGACTAAGTCCTTAGTCCGTATATTTAAATAGCTTTAACTTAACATTATTTGGAAAGAGCAAAAAAAGTCAGATTATAACTAACTACTTCTGGCTTTAAACAGTTGTTTCTAAATAGCTGAAGAAAATGAGTGAATATTTTGTGTCAAGACTTTAGCACCACCAATTATGTGTAAATGTCTTTGGACAATATGTTCGTTTAAATTTTGATTCCTTATAATTCATAAGAGAGGATGTGGGTATAGGTATAGGTATGGATGTGAGTCTTCTGTTCATCCATACCCAAATAGAATCTTTCCTATGGATTCTCGAAGTCAACCGACTAGTTTCATCAATATTCCTTTCATTCTAACGAAGCTAATGACTGATTGTAAGACATACGAAGTAGAAATAATCGATACTGATCTTTAACAAATGTTAAATTTGTCTTCATACATCGATTGCTGCTCTAATCAAATAAACTTGGTCTCGAAGTAGATTTGAAGACTTGTTAGGTCTTGATATTCATCTGAGGATGAATACATCAAATTTAGATCATTTTCTAACAAAAAGTCACTACTCTGAGCATTCATTCAGTAACATCTCGCAAGACGGTGCGACATAGATCTAGAGTAACAAGAACTGCACCTTTATTTATGGATTTCAAATGGTTATTGAGAAGTAGTAGATATAAACTATCTTGTTAGTAGATGGACGAGTGTGTATGGGAATCGCTTATTCACCTATCCACATTCACATCCCACACCCAACATTCACATCTACACCTTAAAAGCTATGATGGATTTAGAACGCGTTATTTAATCATCTTATGAATTCAATGTAATATATAAATCATTGTCTCTATATCTATGTGATTAGAGTAATATTTAGCATCATAACTGCATGTGAATCAATCTTTGGTGATGTGTAATTGCCTGAAAATATTCCAACATCTTTTCGAGCCCACAAATCTCGAACAATTGCCGAACGATCCATTGGAAAACCAATATCAGTCCATTTGACAGTAATTTGTTCACTTCCACTATCGCCTCGATTGAGTAATACCACAGCTTGTGAGCCTCCTGAGAGTGGGCAAGCCCATACTTCAAGTTCTGGCTGAACTATTAAACATTTGCCATTGTACACACTTCTTACAGTACCGTCTGTTGAATTCCATATCCAAGCTTGATTATCTTGTTTATTGCATGAAAACGCATCAACATGTGGACCATCGAAATCATACACGTCCAAACTAATCAATGAAATTTGTTTCGTTTTTTCTCTGCTTTAGGAAGATCATTTAAGACTCACCATTTTCCATTCATCTGTGAAACAATAGCGTGATCAGATGTATCAAGTGTCCATTGTTGATTTCTACCTTGACACTGTGCTTGTGGATCGCCAACCTGACATTCATTTAGTACAACATAAGCTGCTTCACTTGTGCTACAACGGTCAATGGATAAACATCGTCCATTCAATACTGATCGAATACTTCCATCTTGAGGACTATATGTCCATTGACGACGTCTAGGGTCAGTATTTGGTGATGATGAACAGCTATCAATAATGACTCCACTTGAAGCATTCGGTGATTTTGATGATGAAAAAGCAACTTTCGTTCCTTGTACACCAAGTGGATCTTGATTAACAGCAATGACTTCTGGATTAGTGAGAGTTGATAGAGTAGCAGCACTTATTTTCGTAACATCACAACCGATAATTAACGGTGCCTTGCTAATAGACCATAGGGAAAAATGTGTCATATATTCGTCGTCAGTCATACCACCATTGCCAACTTCCAGCACTAAATCGATATAAAATGAATCAAATAGATCAAGAACAATAAATCAATAGTTTACTATCAGGATCATTCCATCCACCTGGTGCTGCTTCTTTAGCAAAGTCAATGTTCTACGTAGAAAGAGAAAAATGTTCAAAGACGGGAAGTATAACATGGTCTTACGAGATCAATATTTCTGATCATTGAATTCCAATTGTCTTGGATGTCATCCGTTGTTCGCCAACTATTTCCAACGGTAGGTGGCCATACGTCATGTTTATTAACGCCACCTTCGACAAAAAAATGTCAAATAATATATGAAGAAAGTGCTAAGAGTTTTTATGCGTACCACACAAAGAGAAGAAAATGGGTCTTCCTGTGGCATTTAATGCATCTCGCATAATTGAATATGCTACTTGTGGTGCAGTTCCATTTGTATAACAACTATCAAGTTTTAAATAATCCACACCCCAAGCAGCATAAGTATTTGCATCTTTTGTTTCATAGCCTAATGAACCGGGCCGGCCAGCACAAGTCTTATATCCTCTATCTAATGTATCGAGAAAAATCATCAGAATTCGATTAAAGAATCAATAAATTTGATTTTTGTACCTGAATAAAGACCAAATTTGAGCTTTCTCGAATGTACATAATCAACAAGGGCTGGGATACCGCTTGGAAAAGTTTTTGGATCAGGTTGAATGGTACCTTGAGCATCTCGACTGAATTGCCAGCAATCATCCAAATTCACTAGAGATAGTAACAAGAAGATAATGTCTTGCATGTAATTTCAAAAGCAGAAAAAAAAATATACCATATTGGTATCCAGCTGAAGCAAGCCCTGTGGCTACAATAGCATCCGCTGTTTGTCGCACGACTGTTTCATTGATGTTACAATGAAAATGATTCCAACTATTCCATCCTTCAACAGTCGAAATATAAAAATTCATTTTCGAACTATTCATTCATTTTCCTATAGAAAAAAATCACCGCAGGCATTGGGATTATGTGTTATATGCAGAAGGACCGAAACGTCTGCACACATATTTTCTTCAAATGAAACCTTTAAACGTACCCATTTGAGGTGTTCTGCCGAGTCCATTATTCAATCCAAGAGAAAAGTGAATGAAAGATAGTACATACACAAATGTTGAAATGATCATCTTGTAGTAGCTACGCAACGTGTAATGAGAATCACTTGGCCAAAAAAAAAACAAGCATCCTTTTATCTTTCACTGTTTTATCGAAACAAGTTACAATCAGTTAGAGTATCTACAGCAGATTCTTATCTTAGTCCAGGTGTGAGCGTGTGTTTGCATAGAAATGCATGCGCATCTTTGACAGATCGGCTTGCAACGTCCTGTAAATTGACTTCAAGCACTGCCGAGATCTATTTTTTCTTCCATATTATAAACTATGTAATATGAACGCATGACTACTCAACATTATTCAGATCTGCGGTCGGACTTGTAAACGGGAATGGAGTTCTTCAGTTCGGTTTAGTCGACTTTTTATACCAACCAGTTTGTTATCAATATTATCAAAGGACGAGTGGCGTTAAGGCCACTTTTCATACCCATATATTTTCAAGAAAAAACTACATGAGCGTTACAAGATAGATATGGGCTACAAATCTAGTATAGTCATTTCCCTTGAAATCACTTTCGGATTTTTGACCCCCGTACCCCCCTACGGGGTTTCGAAAAAACTTTTTTCCAAATTTGTTTTCTAAAAGTAGCTAGGACTGTCAAATCGACTACGCTGATCACGAATATCGCTATCTCAAACTTCATATATGTAGTGCTGAAAAGTCAGACCATTTTTGCCTATGTGTAGATTTTGAGGTCCAAACCGGATTTTTGACTCTCCTGTCACATGTAATAGTCTTTAAGAGGTCTGGAAAAGCATTTTTAGGTGCAAAATTCCAAGCTCTAGTCGAATCTCGATGAATAAACATCATGAGAAATACTCAATAACTTTTAACGGTGACATACGACCAGGATGGTGATATGAGAATCATGCGTGTCGCTTGTTGCAGTATTCCTAGTGCTGTGAACACTTTTGAACTCGAGTGAGACGAGGGCGTGGCAAATCTCAAACTGTTACCAGTTTTGGTTAAATGACATAGTATGTGCTATAATTGTAAAAATAAGTTATCCAGTTTCTGATAAGCCGAAAACTATCATCGTACATCATATATGAGATATTTACTTTTGTATGAAAGTTTTCAGTTTCAACGCATAATAAAGTAAATCAACACATTTATCTATCTATATGTATGAAAATTCAGCAGATAACCAGATATCAGATATTTACTTTTGTATGAAAGTTTTCAGT